ATACATTAGCTTGCTAATTAATTTCAAGGTATCAATTGCTATGTTATAGCTTCGGGCTCAACTTCCAGAGCTCAGCTTCCAAGACCCTTTTTCTGCAAAAAGGGTGAGATAGGTGAAGGGCAGGAACTATACTGATCATCCTTCATTCTGAAATGAAGAACAAAGGAATTAAATTAAAAGCTTTTGCACAGAATATCAAACTGTCAAGAGGGAGAAATATTCTTGTCAATTACCTCTGATAATAGGGTATTATCCAAGATAGGTATTTGTGCCAAGTCCCTACATAATACTAATAGACAGTCATTCCCCAATGGAGAAGTGGTCAAAGGAAATGAAGTTTTCAAAAGAATTGCAAAACAACAACAATCACATGAAAGGCTGTTTCAAATCACTAATAAGAAAAATGCTAAACAAAACAATTGAGGTTTCAACTGATGTCCAGAAAATTGGCAAAGATAACAAAAGATAGAACTATTCAATGCTGGAGAGGTTGTGGAAAGACAAGCATGCTAACACACTGTTGATGGAGCTGTGAATTGTTCTCACCATTCTAGAAAGCAATTTATGTGGAAAAAAGCCAATAAATTGCTAAAAAAAAATCCCAAATTTCTGAATACAAACCTCAAGAAGGTCCAAGATATAATGATCCCATGGACGTCAAAATTTTCAGAGCAGCACTTTTTGTGGTAGCATAATAAACAAACAAAACAAATTTTTAAAAAACCATACACTAGTGGGTTCCCATCATTTGGGGAATGACTAAATAAATTATAATATATGCATATACTGGAAAACCACTGTGTAGTAAAGAACAACTAACATGGGAAACAGAAAAACATGGGGGGAAATCTATGAACTGATGCAATCAATAAGCATTTATTGACTACTATGTGCCTGCTATTACAAGTAAAAGAATGAAACAATCTCTGCTCTCAAACAAGGGAAAACACACACACACACACACACACACACACACACACACACAGAGAAATATAAAGTAGTTAAATACAAGATAGCTTGAGAGAGGGGGCACTATTGTTTACAATTGGGAGGATGAGAAAAGGTTTCATTTGTTTTGAAGGAAAAGAAGGATTCTACTAAGAAGAAATGAGGAAAGAATACATTCCAGGGATGGGGAGGAGGCTAGCACATGGACATATGAGATAGAGCATAGTACATAAGGAACAAAAAGAAGACCTATCTGTCAAGATCACTAAACGTTGGGGGTGAGGTGGGGGAAGAAAGTAATGTTCAACAAAGCTGACAGTTTCTGAAGGACTTTAAAAGCTAAACAGAGGTGTTTTCTCTATTATTCTAAAGGAAACAGGAAACCACTAAAGTCAATTGAGTAGGTGAGTGACATGGTCAGATCTGCATTGAAAGAAAATCGCTTTGTCAGCATGGAGGATAGAGTGAAATGGGGAGAAACATTAGGTTGGGAGATCAATTAGGAGACAATAATCAAAGTGAGAGGCGATGAGGGCCCGAACTAAGTTGGTAACTGTGTGAATGAAAGAGATGGGGTTGAATGGAAGAAACGATGTGGAGGAAGAGATGGCAAGATTTGGCAACTGAATGTATGGTTTTGTTGTGTGAAGAAGGGTTAAGAGTCAAGGATAAGGCTGAGTTTAAAAACCTGAGAATATGAAAGAATAGTGGTGCCTTCAACATTAATGTAGAAGTTTAGAAGAAGGAAGGTTTTGGGCAAAAGATACTAAGCTCTGTTATAATCATATTTGAAATGTCTCCATGACATCTATTTTGAAATGTTCAATATGCAATTGATGACATGCAAACATAGCTCAGGTGAGAGAGTAGGATTGAGAATGAAGAAAGCAGAACCAGGAAAACAACATACATAGCAACTATAGTAATGTATGCAAAAAAGAACACTAAAATGAATGCTGTGTAAGTATCATCGCCAATGGCAGCTCCAGAGAAGAAAAGGAACTATGACTCTGGAATGGCGGGTATACAGAGAGAAATATTGTCAGGCTTTTTTGTTTGTTTTTTTTTTTTTCATTTTGGTTATGGGGTTAACTGCTTTCCATATCTACAAAGGACAGCTCATAAAATTGGGTGGGTAGGTGAGTAGGTAGTTGGGGGAATGACTGATTTTTTTCAAGTAATCAACAAAACTCAATTTTTAAAAATTATGTTATAGAACATTTCTAGTATTATACTTTCAGCAGTTACATGAATATGCAAAACGTATTTCATGGGTTTTTTTTTAAAAGCTTACTCAGAAAATCATGTTTCATTGTAAATCTCTAAACTGGAATCCAATGTACCCTATGATGACAAATACTAAATAACTAATTTTTTTAATTAAATGCCATTCCATTTCTAGAGTGAATGACAGAATAAAATGCTTGCTTTTATAGATATATGCTCATCAAAATCAGCAGAGAGAAATTAATAGATTATTTGTCACTAAAAATATAGATTTTTTGCCATCAGTGCTTAATATTTTCTTTTGACTGATGCTAAGATTTCCTAGGATACTTTCAATAACATTTTTTTCTCACTTTCAAACATGAGCTCCCCTTAGATTTTCCCAAAGTAGAAAAGTTTAGTCAGTTTGCTAATAGCATTAGAAGGTCTCTTACACTAGATGGAGACTAAACACATTACTCTTTTATACAGTCTCTACCTGACACAAAATTTCCTGGTGTTCTTCCACACTCATCAGCTGACTTTAAAATTTAATTAGTTCAACCTATATATAAAACAGCACATACACTCCCCTTTCCCTGACAGATACTAAACATAAATTAACATTACATTCAAACATAAGCTACCAGACAACAAATTCTATTGCCCCAAAACATAAGTAAATGGGCATTTTAACAAATATAAGCACACGCTTTGTAAAACAACATATGCGAGAGTCTGATACTTTACAAAGAGCACTGAAGCAAAAAGATCTGGGTTCAAATAATTTTCCTACCTATGTGACTTTGGGCAGTTCACTTAGCTTCCCTGGCTGAGCTTCAGTTTCACTATCTATATAAAATGAGGGAGTTAAGTAGACTTTCACGTATCTTCTAGTTATACATCTATGATCCTAAAAGACATGTCCCTCTCCCTTCACTGTCTCTGAGGACTCTAAGCCTAACTCTTCTCCCTCTACGTAGACATCAAGCCTATATCCTGGCAGTGACTAACATGACCAATCCATCTTCCCTTTCTCCTCCATGTAGCACTGCATGACATTTTTCCTTCATAATTCATGATTTAGAGTCTAATAAACTCTACCCCCACCCCACAAATGCACACATTTGTTTTTATTCCATTCTTGTTCTTTTTCTCTCTTTCAACTTTTAGCCTGCTGTACTTGGGGCAAGGGGAAGATTTGTTTTTAAAAATTTTAAATTTGTTTTTAAAAAATTTTTTAAAGCTCTCATTTTGTCTTTTTTTTTGTTCTATTAGCAAAACAAACAACTAAACAAAGCCATTTAATAGGAGCTGAACATAGTAGCATGTCAGTATTGGGGGAAAAAAGAAAATAATTCATTTTGAAGTCAAATCAAATGTAAAAATTCTTCAGTACCATCAACCTCTAAAACTCCTGACAATGTGCACTAGCCCATCACAGGATTTCTACAAAAGACTCAATCTACTGTTTACTCTTCTAATTAAATTTGCTTTTTCCATAGTGCCAATGGATATGTTTTTTAATAATGTTATTTAAATTCATATTTTTTCTCTTTAATTACTAGTATTATAAAACCCTGTTCTCCATTTTTTTCATTATTAATATACTAGAAATTTAGCTACATTATGGGTTAAATAAAGTTGTGTAGGCTAGCCTGGAGACTTAATCATTATTCTCTATTGCATTTGTGTGTTTCTGGGTGAAAATGCATTCCAACTTCCAAATAGTTTATCTGTAAAACAATTTTTTTAAACACAGCCCTTTTTCAGAGTACATACTATCAAATACAACAAACTTCTAGGTATAACATGGATAGTCTAGTAGAGTTAGTAGACAGTGTTAGTAAATGGAAATATCACATAGAGGACCTAAGAAGCTATTACATTAAAATGGTTTAAAAGTATAGCTAACTAGTACAAAAGAAAGACCTTTCCCAAAATAGTTATTTTCTGTTATATCATAAAACGTGAATCTTTAATTTCTGATGGAAATTTTTAGTGCGATAATTTCTGTGTTACCCAGACATGCTTCAGAGCAATCAGTGGTCTAATGGGAATCCAGAAACTGATGAGTGAGTTTGGGCAATTCCCTTAAGCACTCACTGCTCCAGTTTCCATGACTCAAAATGGGGATTCCACCTACACTTACATACCTAACAAACATGCACTATATAACCCCTTGAAGGAAAAGTACTATACAGCCACATTAACTCTTGATTATCTGTGCCAGTAGAAGCAACCATTAATACAAATAACCAACATTCCAGATAGTTCAGAAGCTCACATCAAGGACTCAAGTCATGACTCTCAACCAGTCATGGGCTGTGAAACAGGCCAAAAAGAATATGGCTATCAAGTGCATGTAATTCCTTTGCTGTGATCATTGTGAAGCATGGTAAGAACAGGACCAGGAGTCAGGAGAGCTACCTTTGCTACTAATTTACCATGTGACCTTGAACAAGTCACATTATTTTGTGTGATAAGGTAAATGAACTAGATAACTGGTAAGGTCCTTACTCACTAGTTTCAACAGTCTGTGATTTTAATTAAATCGAGCCATAGGAGGAGGTTAAGTTCCCTCTTGCTACCTCTAAAAGCAGAACTATGGCCCCAGCTTACAATAGCCAGTCAGTGTTCAGGGTCTAGCCTATGATGGTCTAGATGTTATTCACAATTAGGAACTGATTTTATTTCAGTAGTTACTATTAAGTAATCAGGATTCACATATTTTTACATTTGTTACAGAATACAGTTAATTAACAGAGGAAACACACACACACACACACACACACACACACACACACAAAACCCCTAAATGGGGAGGGAGTGGGGGGAAGACTTACAATCTGATCAGAAATGGATGGTTGACTTCTTTCAGGACTGACTTTTCATTGTGCACATGCTGCTCTTGCTTTAGCCGAATGACATCTGGAATGCTCATTACCTTCAATGCAAAATAATGTTTGGCTGTTCTTTCTTTCACTAGGTGAACTCGTCCAAAGGTACCTGTGCCTATAAATTTAAGAAAAAAGATAACAAAAATCAGTAAAGTTTTTCCACATTCAAGAAAAGTGTGTTGATGAGATCTAAGAAAGGAGTTTATCATTATTACCATCATAAACTGAGGGCCCACTTTTAAAAAAATCATCTTTAAGGGGATATTCTTATTAGTGTCTGCCTGGGATTTTAAAAAGAAATATAGAAGAGTGCTATTTTGGTCACCCATTTTGCAAACAGATCTTGACTGGTATAAAAATTCCTAAAAGGTGAAATAATACTTACAGCATATTCCTTTCAATAATCCCCTTCAAAAGTCACTACTTTCCAAATCTTTAAAAATAAACACAAAAGGACACAGTATTGAACCTCCTCATAAACTATCTCAAGGAATTTATGTGGAAAAGATGTGCATTAGACAATATAGTAGGACCGCGGGATCAAAGATTTAAAGCCAGAAGGGACCCTTAAAGGTCATCGAGTCCAACCCTTTCATTTTAAAGATGAAAAAACTGATAAATAAAAATGTAAGTGGGTCATGCAAATAGCAAATGTCTAAGGCAACACTTCAATCTAAGTCTTCCTAAGTCCAGGGCCCTGTCCACTAGATGTATTCAGCACTGTTCGAATGGCTAAATTCCAAGAGTAGCCATTAACTCCCCATTTCTACTGGGGAAAAGGTATCTAGAAGAGTGTTCAAAGGATCTGTCCTCAGCTTTGTAGTTTTTATTATTTTTATAAATAATTCTGAGGAAGGCACAGATGGCAAGTTTAACAGATTTTGCTGACAATGGAAACATAAGAAGGACCACTAACATGGAAATGACAGTCAGGATCCACAAAAAGAATACTAGGCTGAATGCATTAAAAAGAATCTTAATAGGTACAAATGATAAGTCTTACATCTGGGTTCAGAAATTGTCTTGACATAGGAATAGTTAGACTAGTTTGTCTGAAAAAGATTTTTGTCACTTCAGTGGACTGCAAACTCACCAATGTGACATGGTAACAACAACAACTACAACCGAAACTAATGGGATTTTTAGATGCATTAAAAGAAACATAGATTCCAGGAATATGGAAGTTGACAATCCATTTTTATTTTGCCCTAGTCAGACAATATCTGAAGTGTCTAATGATGATTACCACAGTTTAAGGAAAGATAATGAGAATCTGAAGAATACTCAAAAGGAGGTATGGCATGAGAGAAAACAAGAAGCGTCTTGAATCCATGGAAAAAAGAAGAGTGGGTAGGAATGGAGAAGGAGGGAAAAGGAAGACGGATATGATAGCTGTCTTCAAGTATTTGCAGGACTGTCATCAGACCCAAGGGGTAGAAACAGGAGCAATGGGTAGAAACTGTAAAGAAGCAAATTTAGCTTTGAATTAAGAAAAAGCTTCCTAAGAAGCAACACCAACCAAAAGTACAATGAGCTAAGAGGATGTAATCCTTCAGAAAAAGCTGTCCAAATTCATTAGCCCTATTTTCTCATCTTCCATTCTCTTCACAAGTCCTTGAAATATAGCTTCCAGCACCACTGCTCAACTCTTTCTTACTAAATGCAATCATCTCTCAGTCTTCATCCTTCTTGACATTTCCACACTGTTAACTACCTCCTGTTACTGGATAGTCTATGTTGCCTGGGTCTTTATGACACTGTTATCTCATAATTCTCTTCCAGTTTGTCAAGAATGCACCTTCTCAAGCTCTTGTACAGGTTCATTATTCGTGTCCTGTCTCCTATGTGTGGTATACAACCTAGTTCTTCTCTCTCCAATCTATACTCTCTTAATAACTTCTCCATTTCCCATCAATACAAATGTCATTTCTATGAAAATGACCCCCATATTTACATATCTACCCTCATCTGTCTCCTAAGTTGAGGGTGTGGTGGAAAACACACTGAACTGGGAGTCATGAGACTATTTGTGCAGCCGTGTTTAAATCACTTTACCACACTGGACCCAAGTTTCTTTATTTGTAAAATCAAAGTATTGCACTAGAAGACTTCCAAGTTACTACCAAGTCTAAATCTCTGATCCTATATCTCCAACTGCCTAATGTCATCACTTAAAAGTCCCATAAGCATATCAAACTCAACATGTCCAAAAAAGAATTCATTGTCATTTCCTCCCCCACCCTAAAAATTAAAAAATAAAAAAAAATTAAAAAAACCCTAACCCTCCTCTTAACTTCCCTAATTGGGTGCTGCAATTCTTCCAGTTATCTAATTCTCTGTCTAGAAGTTAAACTTGACTCTGCACTCTCTTCCTCCCCTTATATTAATAATTTGACAAGTTTTATCAAGCCTCCTTTCTCAGCATTTGTGGAATCTGCCTCCTTCACTCTGTTCACACTATAACCACTGCCTCTAAGCCTCCATCGCCTCTTCCCTGAACTATTTCAACAGCTTTCAAATTAGTTTCCCTGAATAAGTTTCCCTTCCCTTCCCAATCCCTTTTCTAGACAGCTGCTAAATTAAACTGATGTTCCTAAAACACAGGTCTGAACTTGTCACTTCTCCTGCTCAAGAAACTGTAGTGGGCTTCCACTGCCCTTAGTATAAAATACACACTCCCCTGCTTGGCCCTTAAAGCCCTTCACAGTCTGACTCCAGAATGTGACCTTTAACCTAGGTCAAACTGGCCTATCCCCTACTACTGTGCCTCTGCACAGTCTGTATCCCTTGCCTGGAATGCTCCCACTCTCCACATCTGCCTCTCAGAAGTCTAGGTTTCCTTCAAGGCTCAGCTCAAGCACCAGCTCTTTCAATAGGGTTTCCCTGAGTCATCCCTAGTCATGGCCATCTCACCCCATCACTGTGTATAGATTCTTATTTACTTAACTGTGAACATGTCTTCCTAGTAAAAGGTAACCTTGTAAATAGCAGGGATTGTCTGCTTTCTGTCTTTGTATCACTCTTGCCTAGCACAATACTCAGGACTCTAAAAATTCTTCCTTTTATCACTTGTAGACTGAGTCCCCCATTAGCGGGCATCTTCAATTAGAAATGTTTACAGTTATGTTTTACTACAAATACAGACTACAAAGCCACTGACGTTCCTTCCAACTCTAAAATTCTGTTATCTTCACACACCTGACTTATCTAACTCTTATTTTGGTTCATCGCGTCATCTGAAACTAGTATACAGGTTAACAAAACATTTTTTAAATAAAGAAGATTAAGGCTCTTTTCAACTATGATTGGAATCAACCTCAGTTACCATATGCAATTTGTTTAGATAAGTACTGAAAAGTTACTTACAGTACTACAGATATGAATTTATTCTGAGCAAAAGAACTTGTGTGTGACTGAGGATAAGTCTCCATGAAAGAGAAAATCAAAAGAAGAGGAAGAACATTTCCTGAGTATCTTCTTCTAGTGTCTGTTCCCTTCACCTCTTCTTGCTTCTCACAATTTCTTCCATAGACAGAAAGAATGCTTTGTAGAAGAGATTTTGGAATTTATCTGGTTCAACTGCTGAACAGGAAGACACTGAGGCCTAGACCAGGTCAAATTTTTGGCTGAAGTGGGAAATTTGAACCCAGGCCTCTGGACCCCAAATCTTTCTGTCACATCATAACTGACAAGCTGCTTAATATACTGGGGGGAAAAATAGGCCCAATGGCTTTTGGATGCTTTAAAGCTTTGGGTTACCCCTACCTTCTCACACTCAGACTTACCAAACCACCTGGGTACCAGAAAAATCAGACCTTGTTGGCATTTTCCAGCCTTTACAATCTTCTCTGGACAATCAGCATAAAAGATTAGCATATCTACAAGGAATTACACTTTAATTCCCCTGGCTCCAGCCAGAAGTGCAGGTTTTCTAACAAAGAGAGGGTTGTCCCCATAAGCTATTAAAATAGGTGCTCAAATCCTGCTTTTAGAAAGCTTTTACCTTCAGCCAGACACCCTAGTCACAGGACTAGCTTTTAACGATGCCTATCTTGGGCCTCCTCCTTTGTTTTGTTTTGTTTTTTAATTAGCTTTGCTTATGCTGAAATTCAGGTAGGTCTGCAGTAAAGAGAAGATAATGTATTCCTCCCCCCACCCCACTCCACATGCACACACCTCTCTAACAGACAGTAAGTACATATGTACTCCCTGGCTCTAGGCAGATGTGAAGGTTCCTACTGACATTGGAAATCTTATATCAGGAGTTAATACATGAAGCTTTGTTGGGAAGATTTCTGAAATGCATCCTAATACTTGTTAAATGGAGTTTATCCGTGTGTATGTGTGTGTGTGTGGTTTTCAAGAATGTAATTCCAATTAAAAACTATATTAAAGCTCAATAAATTCTACAAAATCTAAGCCTAAGAAAAGCTAGGCATAGTGTAGTATATCCCCTAGATCTGGAAGGAACAGGCTTCTAAGACTTCAGAGAAAAAACTTGTGGGCTCCTGTAACATAAAATTCAACAAAGCTACACAGTCATATTCCAAGAAAAATAGGATGCTCTCAAGAATGAAATTCTGGTTAAATTATTTGAGAAAGAGGGGTTGTTTTTAACCTGGGGGTCAATGAAGAGATTTCAGGGAGTCTGTGAATTTGGATGCGGAAAAAAATTGCGACTTTATTTCACTAATTTTTGGTTTCCTTGAAAATGTTATGTATTTTATTTTATTCCTTTATAAAAATTATTCTAAGAAAATGGTCTATAGGCTTCCCTACACTTCAAAAAGGGTCCATGACACACGAGTGATTAAGAACCCCTGAGCTAGAGAGTTTGGTCTAGATATAATATAGTTAGATGGCTGAATAACCAGACACAAGGATTGCTGCTTAATCTTTGGCTAATGGCTACCAACCTGAAGGGAACTATCTAGTAGTGTCCCAGGGCACAGTCCTTACTTAGTCTACATATGCACTGTCCAACAACCTAGGCAAGAGAATCTGGACCTGAAGAGCCCATCAGGCTGAAATGATGAGTTAAATCTAATAAGAGGAAATAAGGGTATATGGAGACGTATGCTTAAAAAAAAAAAACTAACTGCAAATGTGCAGAAT